CAACAGCACCTGGTCTTCCTGGGTGGTCTCCCATCCAAGTACTAACCAGGCCCGACCCTGCTTAGCTTCCAAGATCAGATGGGATTGGGCTTGTTCAGGGTGGCATGGCCGTGGACTAAGCTTTTTTATAATTGTTTTTAAAGTCCTTGTGTACTAATTCTATGATCTCAGCATTTCTAGGTCTGTTTCTATTAATTTTTCTTTTAGTTATAAAGAACATTTTCCTACTTATTTACATGTCTAAAACAAAATTCAGGACAGTGGTTCCTTCTAGAAAGTCAGAAAAAGAAAAGGGCACAAAGAGACTTCTAAGATACTGGTAATGTCCTATTTCTTAACTGATGAGAACATAGTGTATACATTTAGTCTTTAAACTACACATGAATCTTAATAAGTATATTGTAGTTCTTTTAAAAATACTGTAAAAATTAAGTTGGATGTTTTGAAATTTTTCAGTAGAAAAACTTAAAAAAAGGGGGTGTGGGGGACAAGGGAAGACATTACCAAAAATGGCAAAGAACTAAACTCCAGGGCTCTACCTCCTACACAAAAACAACAAATAAGCTGGCTAAAATCGTCTGAATCAACTTCTGCAAAACTCTAGAATCTATTTAACTTACAACAACCAAGGGAAGGCTCAGCAAAGAAAGAAGCATTACTACAGAAGAGTGCTATTGGGTTTTTAATTGACTGCCGACCAGCTTCCATTCCCCAGTTGAGCAGAGGCAGTGAGGGTGGCAGCTAAACTCCTGGTGCAGGGAGATAGTGCCAAGGGAGCAATACAAACCAAGTCTCAAATGACTGTGGTTGAAAGTGATGACCTGACTGACAGCTTCCTCAAGGACTGGCACAAGGACTTTGTTCTATCTTAGTTGGAGCATTCCTAGAGCAAAGCAGCTTGGGGCAAGGAAAAACAATCAGGATAAGACTTAAAACTAACAGCCTGGGAAGAGCGAGAGACATATGGGGAGAAATGGGCTTGGTAAGTTCTCATATATAACAAGGAATCTGGAAGGCCACACACATGCCCAGAAAAGGCCTAAGCTTTCACTTTTAGCTGACCTTCAGGCTCCACAAAAACAGGAAGTAAAAACTAAAGTCACACTGTAAATGGCCTGCTAAGAATTAAAAGAGTATCCAAACACAGAAACATTCAGCCAAGAGTAAGGCAGTATTTGGGGGGTTTTCTTCATTTTTTTCTTTTCTAGGCTCCAGGTGTTCAAGGAAACTTGGTCAAAGCACTAATTGACAACTAAGCTAATGGAACAGACAGACTTCAATGACCACACATGACGAAGAATACATACTTTAAAAAATATTTTAGAAAAGACACCAAACAAACAACAACAACAAAACAATAACAACTTACCGCAAACAGTAACAAAAAACCCTGGGGAGGGAAAAAATATGTTTAGAGTTGACACAAAGTAATATTCAAAATATCTAGTTTTGAACAAAAAATTTTGAGCATGCAAAGAAACAAGAAAGTATGGCCCATTCACAGGGAAAAAAAGAAATTAATATAGGAACTGTGCCTGAAGCTCAGGCAAAGGAAATCACAAAGAACTAAAGGAAACCACGAAAACAGTATCTCATCAAGTAGAGACTTTCAAAGATAGGTCAGCTAAGATAGTCCAGTCTTAAAAATAGAAAAGAAGAAGAAAAATAAAGAGCTTAAGAAACCTGTGAGACATCATCCAGTGTACCACCATAATAAATAAACGGAGTCACAGAGGAGAGAAAGGGGTGGGAAGAATATCTGAAGAAATAATGTCTGTGAACCTCCCAAATCTGATGAAAAACATGAATCTACACATCTAAGCACCTACACATACAAGCATTTCAACTACAAGCTCCATGAACTCAAAGAAATAGATACCAAAATGTATTACAGTCAAATTGTTGAAATACAAAGAATTTTGAAAGCAGCAAGAAAGAATCAACTCATCACCTACAAGGAGATCCTACATTGTTTAACAGCCAATTTCTTATAAGAAATCATGAAAGCAAGAAAGCAGTGGGATGACATATTTCAAGTGCTGAAAAAATAAACTGTCAATCAAGAATGCCATATGCAGCAAAATCGTCAAAAATGAAAGAAAAATAAAGACATCCTCAGGTAAATAAAAGCTGAGGGTATTCATCACTAGTAGACTTGCTCTATAAAAAATTTAAAAGATACTTCTTTGGGCTGAAATGAAAGGACACCAGATAATAACTCAAAGTCATACAAAGAAGTAAAAAACAAGAGTAGAGAGAGCTACATGGTAGACATACAAGCCAGTATTATTGCATTAATGGTTTGGAACTCTTTCCTTGGCTTATATGATTTGAAAGAAAAATGCACAAAATAATAATAATATATTTATAGCTAAACATCTATGTTAATGAGAACACAATGTATAAATATGCAATTTCTTACAATAACAACATAAAGGGAGGACAGAACTTTAGACGAGCAAAACTAAGCTGGTATTAGTTCAGACTTGATTATAAGATTGAGATGTTAATTGTAATCCCCAGAGGAACACTAAGAAAAAACAAAATAAAAATATACTGAAAAAGAAACAAGAAACTAGACAAATATACTAATCACAAAAGAAGGCAGTGATGGAGAAATTAAGAAACAATAAAAAGGTAAGATATACAGAAAGCAAATACCTAAACAGCAAAAGTCCTTCCTTATAAATTACTTTAAATGTAAATGGATTAAATTCTCCAGTTAAAAAGTAGAGATTGATATGAGATTAAAAACAACCCAACTACATTCTGTCTATAAGATTTTCAATTTTTATCTAAAGACACAATAGCTTAAAAGTAAAAGGATAAAAATATAGTTAATGCAAATGGTAAGCAAAAGAATAGGGTGCCTATACTAACATCAGACAAAATAAAGTTTAAGATAAAAATTGTTATAAAAGACAAACTGTTACAATTATAAAAGAGCCAATCCATCAAGAACACATAGCAATTATAAACATAAACACACCTAGTAACGGAAGTGAAAAATATATGAAGTAAAACTGACAGAATTGAAGAAACTGACAGTTCTACAATAATTGTTGGAGACATCAACACTCCACTTTCAAAAATGTATAGAACAACCAGACAGAATATCGATATAGAGTATTTTTACTATAAACCAACTAGCCCTAATAGATATATACAGAACATCCAACTAAATAAAGAGCAGAATATATAATCTTCTCAAGTATACAAGGAACATTCTCCAGGAGAAATAATATGTTAGGCTACAAGACAAGTCTCAATAAATTTGAAAAGACTGATATCATCCAAAGTCTCTTATATGATAATGGAATGAAAGTAAAAATCAATTAATAAAAGAAAAACTGGAAAATTCACAAATATATAAAAAATAAACAATATTCTTTTAAACGACTAAGATTTCTTCAAAGAAGAAATCATAAGAGAAATTAGACTATATCTTGAGACAAACAAAAACACAACATAATAAAACTTATGGGATATAGCAAAAGCAGTGCTAAAAGGTCAATCTATAGGTATAAATACCTATATTAAACAAAAAGATCCCAAATCAATATGTTAAGTTTATACTTTAAAGAACTAGAAAAAGAATAAAGAACAAGCTAAATCCAAAGCTAATGGAAGGAAAGAAATAATAAAAATTAGAGTGGAGATAAAACACAGAATAAAGAAAACTGGTTTTTTTGAAAAGATCAACAAATTGACAAACTTAGCAAGACTAACAAAAAAAATAATAAAAAATTTTAAAAAAGAAGACATTACTAAATTCAGAGATGAAAATGGGGACAATTCTATGGCCTTAAAAATAAAAAAGGATTATAAGAGAATACTATGAACAATAATATACCAAATCAAATAACCTAAATGAAATGGACATGGTCCCATAAACACAAAAAGTACCAAAACTAATTGCTGAAGAAATAAAAAATTTGAACAAACCTGCACGGGGTAAATCTAGAGATCGAATCATTTTCAAAAACTTCCCCCAAAAGAAAAGCCCAGAACCACATAGCTCCACTGGTAATTCTACCAAACAGTTAAAGAATAACAAGCCTCCTCAAACTTTCTCAAAATCCAGAAAAGTATAGAACATTTCTTAACTCATTCTGTGAAGCCAGAACTACCTGACTCCAAAACTAGGTGAAAACATCACAAGAAAAGAAAATTGTGGACCAACATCCCTTACAAATATGAAAATCATCACAAAATATAGGACTAGCAGACCTTATCCAACAGCATAGTAAGATTACATATTATGACAAACAAATTTATCCCAGGTGGGTCGGCTTCAAAAACCAATCAATATAATATGCCACATTAATAGCATGAAAAGACACATGATCATCTCCACTGATGCAAAAAGAAAAAAAAAAGCATT